AGAAGCGCATCCTAGCCAAATATGTGCGAGCCAAAAACGTGAGCCGAACAAATTGTTACTGCCTTAAATAGTAAACAGATTTTTTCGTTCATTCCTGGCACGGACAAAAACGGGGTCTGCGTATTACGGCAGCGACAGGCAAGAGGCTGAATTCGATTCTTTCCAGCCGATTCCCATAGGGTTGAGCTGGGTCAATCCTCCTCGCCAGAGGTCCCCAGGAGCATTTAAAAATCAATTTGGGCGCATTTATGTTTCACACGATGGCCCAGAGAGAACCCGAAACAGAAACAGAAACGCTGTGAAGCCTGAGCCGGGGAAGTCTCGTTTGATGATTATCTCGGTTTGTGTGACTTTCGGTTTCCAAGCTCGTGTACGATCCATGTAGTATATGGTGTGTGCCTGGAAAATGGATGGAAATGTGTGTCACCGGGTCTCTGTGTCTCCTCCTCCTTCTCATCCTCCTTCTGGCTGGCAATCCTCTAACTTTAGCTGCAACTTCCATTCCCAATCCACTGGCACTGCCTCTGCCATTTCCATTTCCATTTCCATTCCCAATTCGAAACAATTACCAATTGTTTATTTGTTCTTACAACTTGTTGTCGACTTCCCCAGTGGCCCGACGGTGCTAGTGATTCCACCCCCGTTCCCCTCGCTTTCCACTTCGCCTCCACGAATTCGTCAATTGCCACACTATCTTGATCTCGAGTCGGCGCACAGAAGTTTACTCTGTCGAAACGGTCCCAAAACGAAACTTTCCTTGGCCACTTTGACAGTCGGCACTTTATCTTCGCCAGCTTTTAATTTCACTAATGACAATTGATGACCGTACACGTTTATGAAAATGGAAAATCTAATGAAACTGAATTTTCCCAATGAGAGCCAAGTCAAGAGAAGCCAGCCGCCCGAAGTCCGATGTCAATGTGTTCAATCAATCAGGAAAAAAGTGCAAGAAGCTGTCCGTTTTCAAAATTATATATTTTTTACATTTTAAAATATATTATTTTAGATATTATTTCTGAAACTTTAAGCTGTTAAGTTCTATGTAAAAGTCTTAGAATCTTGATAAGAAAACAGTAACCAGCTAGGTTCCGACTCTTGAAAAGTCTGCTAGTTTTGTAAGCTCTTAAAATGTTTATTCAGTATTTAATGTATAAATTTATGTTAATATGTTTTCAATCTAATTATTCATAGAAATATAAAAGATTTTTTTAAAGTGGTTTTTGAAGTATACCTTCCAATTAGCTCAGTTATTGAATAAAATGTGGCACTGCCACACACATTTGGTGAATGCTCGTGGAGGCATTTCAAGATCGCGGCACTCGTAAATCGCCGACCAGCCCACAAAGCGATCTTAAAGACAATCCGCAACAGGGTTGACTAGAAAAGTATGCCAGCAGCGTTTTCGAGTTGGTATTGTTGCTGCTGCTTCTGCTGCACAGAAGTTGTCATCGTCAATTAGTTTAAAGGCAGCATAAATTTATGTTAACAGCTACCAAACATAATATCCCCTGAGAGCCCGGAGTTGCAGGCAGAGCGAAAACGAAACGAAACAATTTTCCCTTTTCACCAACATCAACGCCAGCTACCGTTTCTGCCACTGTTGCAAGTTGCAGATGTTGCTGTTGCGCTGCTGCTGCTGTTGCTGCTGTTGTGGCATTGTGTTTTGGGGCGCGCGATTTCGTGGCCGTTATAACAGGCCCAAAGAATCCGAGGCGGACGTTATGCCTCAATGAAGTCAGACTCTGAGTTGGATTTCTCGGATGCCCCTTGCCTGAAAAGAAGAAGGCCAATTGGGTCGTGGCTGGGCCTTTGATGTTGTCGCAGTTTGTTAGATTCTGTTGCGGCAAGGAGCAACAATAAGAAACGAAAAAATTGCACATGGGCCCAGGCGTAGCATTATTTAATGTAATCGATCGTGATGGGTTTGTTCTAATTTGCGGTGATTTTGTTTTTGGCGCTTGTTAAGAACAACCAGAGTGAAAGAGCCATGCGAAATCCTTTGAAGTTGGCCAAAGATTTAGTGTCGTATCTTTTATGGTGTATCATAAAAGTTTACGGGCCCCTGTTTAATTAGTTGGTGGGCATAAAGGAATCAGTGCGGGACGTGAGTGGCTGACGTGCCATAAATTGCTTTTGCCTGTCGAAATTTTAGCGTCTGAAACTATGGTTTTATAGTAATTGGATTAATGAAAGAGATAATCGGCTGAGAAACCGAAACTTTTCGGTTGAATTTAGTTTGCCTTTTCTAAATAAATTTTATATTTCAATATATATTTAATGCTAGCAAACATACTAAAAGCGTATTTAATTTCTAACAAACTATTTGACTATGAATAATAAATAAAAATGACAGCTTTATGAAAATGTTTTCTTATTAAGTTCGAGTTTCTTTCTCTGTGTATTACTGGTTTCGTGATTTGTTCTTATTTCTAGTTGCGTATCACAGCCTAATCAAAGCTCGTTGGTGCATTATATACATATGCGAAGACTTTTCTCAATTCCAGGCTTGGAAATTGCATGGACAACTAGATGGTAATTGCAGGTGTGCAACATGGTAATGACGACTTTGGCCAGAGGCCAGGTATTGGGTGGAAGTGGAGGCCCCAATTGGGGGATGATTGGATGGGATGGAGCGAGATCGAGAATTGCGTTGGGAAGAGGCGGACATCCACCCGATCATGCTCATTAGAGGGAACTCGTTATGGTTACCAATGACCAGATCACAGCCCCCCGAATCATAGGTGACCCGAATTTTGTGCCGGATATGAATTACAAGCTGCCAAAAACAAGGCGAGAAGCTTTTGTGGATAATTAAGCTTAGACAAAGCACAACAACACTTTTGTTGTCCAACGGCCAATGACCATTTCCAAAAAGTATGTACAGATCTACCCCGAAAAGGATAAAATGCCAGTATAATGACCTTCGATTGAATCACCTGCCTTCGCTCAACCCCGTTTGATCCGATGCCACTGAAGTCGGCCTCCCAATCGGTTGAATTAAGTAATTTCGATACCGTCACGTCAGTCAGCAACCCACGCGACGGCAGCTGAGGAGATAATCAAATAAAATGGATTGTTAGCCAGGTTTCGAAGTTGAAAGAAAAGCGCCACTCGGGATTATTTGCTTTCTTAAATGTCCCCACAAGGGTCAGGGACAGGCAGCGAAATGAAAAGCCGGGCAGAGCGAGGGAAAAACCCAAACAAATTGTATCGATGGCTTGCCAATGAAGTGAAAATCGTGATTCCAAAGTCAAACAGCGGCCTGTAATTTCCACTAATTTCTACACGTTTTGTTTTCCTTCGCTTTGAATTAGCTTGGTTTTTTGGTTTTGCCTTCGTCAACATTTTGTCGAATTGCTTCCCAAGTAGCTAAAACAATTATGCGAATTAACGGCGACTGGGGAATGAATCGCACAATTTCAATAGCCATTCCAATTGGCAAAAGTTCAAATCAATTGCGACTCATTTAAAGTGACGTCACAATCGCTATGCCAAAAAAGGCAATCGTTCCAGAAGGAAAACACAACTGCAGCCCAAGTGACCAAAGCAGATATCCCAGAGTTCTCGGGAAAAACTCCATAACAGCAAATGCATTCTGCATTTTAAACAGACCAAAGGGTTTTTAGTCCATCACAGTCGCACGTCTCAAGGGAACGTTAGTTGACATTTATGGAATGGGACTTCTGTGTTCCATCGATTGCTCAGTCCATGGGCGTAGTCCGACATGTATGGCTTAGTTTAAAACCTTTTTATATCTTTGATCAGTGTTTGACAAATCCTGGTTACTACTTATTTAAATTTTAATATGTATATTATCTATATTTTTTGGGCCTAACCCCCTCTTGATAAAATCCTTGCTACTCCCTTGTCCCAGTTGATGTTCTTTTTTCACCTTTCTGAAAACCATTCCGATGCGGCAGACTGCTTGGAACCATCGATGTCTGAGCAAGCTCATTTATTCAGCTGTTTCAGTTGTTTTTTGCTGACTGCAGTAGGAATTACTTGAAATGGCTTGTAATGAGTCGAGTGCTCTTGGTTGCCCTTTTGTTTTTTGCCCGCGTCTTCAGTTTTCCTGGAAAGCTTGCGACAAATTTAGATGGGACCAAAGCTTTATTTGCACTTGCGCATGGAGTGGCCTCCATAACAAAATGGAATTTTAGCAAAAACCGCCCAACTGGCTCGTTGGTCTAGGGGTATGATTTCCGCTTAGGGTGCGGGAGGTCCCGGGTTCAAATCCCGGACGAGCCCAAGAGATTGTCGATTTTTTTTTTTTAAGTAATGTTTTGATATTAGAAAATGCAATCTAAGCACTTTCACGCACAAGCACAATAGTAACAAGTAAAATCATCATCAAATCATTTTCATTTTGTTGCTTATAAAGCCTACTTAATAAAATCAACCAGTACGCAAACTCGCTTATGTTAAAATTAACCCAAAAAAATAAACCATCTTGGGCTCGTCCGGGATTTGAACCCGGGACCTCCCGCACCCTAAGCGGAAATCATACCCCTAGACCAACGAGCCAGGTGATCGTCGCGGCTCACTAAATCGGACCAATTTCCCGCTGTAAAAGTTGGTTTTGTTAACGGTTTCTGCAGAAATATTGGTGAAACGCAAGTAAAAACTGGTTTCGTGACGAGTTATTTTCAATCAAGGCCAAAGCTTTTCGTTGACCATGAAAGAGTACTTGCAGTAAGTCATGTGGGCATTTTGACAGACCACCAGCAACTGGCTCGTTGGTCTAGGGGTATGATTTCCGCTTAGGGTGCGGGAGGTCCCGGGTTCAAATCCCGGACGAGCCCAAGGAAAACAACTTTTTTATTTTATTTTTTTCAAATTATAAACATTGCTTATAGTTTTTATTTTTGTTGCACAAATAACGACTTATGGGTAAATAATATTAACATTTGTTGTTTTGCCCCTCTTATTTAGTATGATTAAAATTGCATTAATTTAGGTAAAATATATTTGATTAATACCAATGGTTAACAAAACAAAAGTAAAATTAGATGATTTATTGTTTGTATTTTCTTTATGTATAATGCATTTACATGTATGTAAGCTGAAAAACAATTTCGATATATTTAATACAAACGAAAAAAAGGGAAGCAAATAAGCATAATTGCCTGTCGCTCGCTTCAAAGCTGACCTATGAACTACATAAACATAAATAAATGACACATTTTGTGGACATAGAGAATTGGATAAACGTACAGTAGAATAACATACAGATACAATGATAGAATAGATGATAAATACATAAATTTGGCCCAAAATTGTTGTTGTTTTTGTAGCTGTTGATGACGCAGTGGCTGCTGTTGTTATTTTTGTTTGGGGGTTAGTTTCCATTGCTCGACGTCCCTTCCACATTTTACATTGGAGGGGGGTGAACAGTCGTTGTTAGCTTAACTCCGTTTGAAATCTGAAGCTCCTGATAGATTTTTATGTTTTACTCGTCTGCTACATCACCAACATCATCATCATAATCGTCATCGTCATCATCATTATGATCTTCAACCAGTTTTGCGCTCTGTTAGAGAAATGTTATTCGTTTTATGTACATACATCATGGATGTTGTGCCGTTCGATTTTTGTCTTGCATTTGGTTGCTTGGTTTTTATTAATATATTTTAAATAATTATAATTATTTAGTTATTATTAGCACTAATTATTCTTTGGTTGTTCCACTGGTTCGGTTTGTTGTTTGCTTGCTCTTGGTTATTGCATTTCATTTTCGATTTGTTCATTGTGCTTTTTCTTCCTGGAGTTCCTGTTGCTGAATGTTAATGACGGCAGCCGTTTTAAACATTTGCTTGTGACTGGGCTTATTTGGATTGGTTGTTAATGCTGTTGCTGCTGTTGTTGTTGTTGTTGTTAGATCTGATGATGCTGGTGATGTTTGTGCAGCGGATTTTCTCAAACTCTTGCCAAACGTGGAGCTGCCCTTCAGACCTGTAACGAATCAAAAAAAAAAAACAAAAACAAATGATAGCCAAAATTAGTTTCTTTCGTTTTTTGCATTTTACAGCCAAATTAAAGTACAGATATAAAGTATATACATATGTGAGTATTTATATTGAGAGGAGCACTGAAAAGGGGTCAAGAGAGACAGAAGACAAAAGCAGAGACAGCCGTGATGATCATGATTGTGTGTGTTGTAGAATGTAGAAGGAAGAGTGCGCTGCCCCAGGAGATTATAGAGTTGATCGAGTATGGCGTTTTAGCGTTTACCTTGGAAGCTCAAACGATTCTGATAGATGGCGAATATATCGAAGGGCCTGTAGCATGGCTCGTAACCATCCTCGGGCCCATCGAGATCTCGATAGAGTAGGGATCTCTCACTCTGATCAGAAGCGTTTGCGGCAGACACGGGGGAACAGTTTAGCATATGGGAGGGTATCACGAATAGACTTTGCTCCATTTTCTCGGGTGGCGCTCGCGATGAATCGGCGGTTTCTGTATCGGAATCGGGATTGGACTCAGTTTCGCTCGAGGCCGCTGATGTGGTTGCTGTGGTTGTTGTGGTTGTGGTTGTGGCAGTAGTTCTTGTTGCTGTTGCACCCTCTATTTGTGGTGCAGGCTTGGGTGGTTGTTTGTAGTTGTGGTGTGTTTGTTGTTTGTGTTGTGTTTTTTGTTTGTTTGATTTTTTGGTTGGGATAGTGGAAGATGGTAACAAAGTGGATTAGTTGTTGTCTGCTGTTGTAGTGATTAGTGTTAGTCACAATTTATACTAATTGAACTAGTGTTAGTTTAAGGGCTCTAAAGTAGTTTCATGCTAATTTCTTACCTCGCTATCTTCACAATCGGTACCTTCTCGAGCGTCGGTGGTCAGGCCCTGCACGAAGTGAACATCGTTTGATGGATCATCGGAGGCCAAGTGGGCTCGAAATTGCTTGTTTCTGCAGGATATCATAAGTTGAAAGATCATTTAGGACACAAGGGGGGAACCTTACCTTAGCTCCAATTGCTGCATCTGCTGAAAATGCCTCAGCTTGCTGTTCGCCATATGCAGTTTCTCCTCCAGAGCTGCGTTTTCCACGCACTTGATGGAGTACTTTTCAGAAAAGGAAAGAATTTCCATTCGAAGCTCTCCGAGATCCTCCCTGAGTTTAGAATATATAGTTTATTATATAAATTACAAGCTTATTCTAAAAAACATTCTCATTTTTCTAATATATCTAATGTTTTAAATCACAAACTAAAGTCTTTACTTACTCCTTAAGTTTGGCTCCATCACCCCGCATTTGTTCACCCCTTTGGACCTGGCGCAGGAACTCCTGCTTGAATCTTGCGACTTCCCGCTGAACCTCACTCTGGTGTGCCTTTCTCATAGCATCCAGAGCAGCCAAGGTGGCCTATTAATAATAATAAAGTAAGGAAATACAGAATTTTGAAGAGTTATGTAAAAAGTGCTATTCCCACCTGAGTCTCCTCGGCCAACGCGGTTTCCTTCTCGGCAAGCAGGCGCTCAATCTCCATCTTGTGTTTTTGCTCCAGGTCGCAAGTAAGCCGTCTGTGCGAAGTCTCCATGGCACTCAGTCCCTTTTCGCAGAGAGTCTAAAGTTTAAGATTTAGAATGAAAAGTTGAGATAAGTGAAGTTTAGTTTTATTCTTACCCTCAGCTGCTCAATCTCGGTTTGATAGCGCTTTCGGAAGCTCTGCTCATCGGCTGCATTGGCGTGTTCGGTGTGGTAGACCTCCCTCAAGCACTCCAGTTGCTTGCCATGTTCCCGCTCGAGGAGCTCCAGACGCTTTTCCAGCCGACGACAACGCTCCTGTTGCCTTCCCAGTTCCTCGCTCAGTTCCTGGCGCTGCTGCAGGAGTAGTTCCTGCTCCTGTTCTTGGCTGGCGCACTTCTCCAATGCCTGGGCTAGATCACTTTCCCGCTGCTCCAAGAGCTGCTCACTCCTTTGCAAATCAGTTTCTGTTTGCTGTTGCAGGGCGGATAGTTTCTCCACACGCTGGCGTAGATCGCAACACTTGTGGCAGGCATCCTGCAAGCAGGTCAACTCCATCTGCTCACTGACCATCACACAGGTCTCGGCCAGAGCTCGTTCCAGCTGCCTCAGGCCATCCTTGCGATCGTTCATGGGTGAAACAGAACGACGTGTCCTTTGACCAGCCCGTATTTGCTGCAGTTGGGTGAGACTCTGCTCCAGACGCTCCTTGCTGCCCAAGAGCACGTGCTCCAGGCTGTGGAGACGCTGCAAAAGATGGGCATTCAATGGTGACTGACTGCTGGATTCGCTGCTGGAGGATTCGGGTGGTGTGCCCTCTTTCCTTTCCACCGTTTCCCTTTGCAACTCGCTTAGTTTCAGTTCCAGTTGCTCCTTTCCCTTTAAAGACAACGAACGCCGCCTCTCGGACTTCGCCAACTTCTGCTTAAGAGCCCGCACCTGACGCTCTGAGCTGCTGTATTTCAAGGTCAGATCCTGAATACGGGCTGCCATCAGTTGCAGTTGAGCTCCATCCTCGTGTTGTCGCCTCTCCAGTTTCTGTTGCAGAGCAGCTTGTGCTAGTTCCAAGGCATCATATTGGTTTTGAGACTGCTTCAATTCCCGCTTCATGGCTCGGATTTCGTTGACAGCCTTTTCGAAGCGCGATCTCAGCTCATTGTATTCCTCGGCCAGCGAATCTCGTTGCAGGCAGTAGGGATCAATGTCACTGATGGTGGTCAGATCGCTCAGCGAGTCCATGCGTTTGATTTTGTGACGCTGCAGGTTGCTCAGTGTGCCACCGCCACCGTGATCCTGCAATTCCCTTAAACGCTTGTAGAGTCCTTCGTTCTCCTCGATTCCCTGGGCCAGACGATCCTCCAACTGCTTGATTTGGCACTGACTCTCGGTTAGCTGCAGTCCCAGATTGTGCATCAGTTCGGAGGCACTCTGCTTGGCCTGGCTCAGTTCGCTATTCAACTGCGTTTGCTGCTCCTGCAGCCGGGCAGTCAATTGCTGTTCGGTTCTTTGGAGGGTGGCCAGTAGCTCAGACATCCGTGTTTCTCTCAGAGAGGCTTCTGCTCGCAGGGTCTCACACTGTTGCTTGAGTTCCCTGCTCTCGGTTGGCTGCAGTTCCTCGGGAACCACCAACAAGGGCAACTCATCACTGGCCACACTGTCCACGGTGCTGCGCCGTGAACTTGGTGGTGAACTGCGACTCCTTTTGTGCAAACTGGCCAAACTGCGATTGCGCAGGCAACTTCTCAGGACAGGTGGAGAAGGTGACAACGGGGATCCCCAGTCTAAGCTATCTCTTCGTCCGCCCTCCGATGCTGTTCTGTACTCCTCATCTGACGAAAAATGCGGACCCGCTGGTGTTCCTGGAGTTACAGGACTCGATGATGGCTGTTGCTGCAGTTGAGCCTTGATAAAGTCCTGCTCAATATCCGTCTGTTTAGGCGGAGTGTCCAGTTGTGGCAATCCAGCGGCACTTCGTAAGACCGCCAGCCAGCTATTCCTTGAACTAGGTGACAAACTGGCCAAAACCAAGCGCTGTTTGTCCCACGTGGTCAGCTGAAAAGCGTGCTGCTTGCTGGCTGCAGGCTCCGCCAAAACGCTGGTCAAACTATTCACATCCAGAACGCCGTCGAGGACACCTCGCTCTTCACACAACGGATCCCTGTAGTAGAAAAGCGCCGCGCCACTCAAGGTGAACCAGTGCTTGGACCACTCGCCCGTCCGGTTGTCCTGCTTCATTAGCCAACCCTTCTTGGCATTCAGGGACTCCTCTGTGGCCTTTACTGGAGGCTTTCCTTGACCGGAGGAGGTCTTATTATTCGCCTTGCCTACCGATCTCAGCTCATCTGTTTTGGCCATATAGTTAACACACAGCTCGTCCAAATTGCATCCGCCATCGGGATCGCCCCTCTCGTGCTGGTAATGTTTCGGGGACTTCAGGTGCAATTGCAGCCTGGCAGTGGGTTTCGTTTTGTCTCCCTGCTCCATGACCGTGGGTATCTTTTTGACTATGGCTGACACTATCGCTGGTGTGGAGTTGGATGCCAGTGGCAGGGATTTTGGACGCTCGCTAGTTGTGTTCGGCGTTTTGGTGTTGCCGCTATTGGAGGATACTTGGAAGTCCGTTTCATCTCTGGATGTCACTTGGTACTGACTGTGATGGCTGAAATGATGCTGGTTGTTCAGGGCATTGTTAACCGCCGTGGACCAGCGTTTGTTCTGCTGCTGACTCAGATTCGTTATGGTGTTGGCAATGTCCTTGATCGTCTTCTCATCTCGACGAATGTCCTCGATCAGCAGGCAAGTTGTGGGTTGGGAAACTGAAATGGATAAGAATAAAATGGGTTAGGTAACAATATTTATTAACTTAAAATAGCATCAACAAGTTAACAAAATTTAAGAGTAAAGGTTTCTAACTATTGAGTATTTAATGACCGCAATAAAAGGAAATCACCATCAAAGTATAAAGGAAAGATCGTTTAACTAGATAATCAGGCAATTATAACTATACGAGCTTGCCGGTCATCAAGGATCATAAATTCCCCATCAGCCTTTGCCCAAAACAAACCCTGGTCAGCAATCTACGCATTCTTTTCTTATAATTGGCTCAACGTCTTCATTAAATACTTTGAAATATGAGCATGTCGGTAATTTCATTTTGCCGGCTGTCCAGGTTTCTCTCTTGGCTAAGCAAACCATATCAATGCCATTGACTGAAATTAACTTAGACGGAGGATCGTGTGGATGGTGAATGGTGGATTGAGAATTGAGGATAGCAGATTGAGGACTGAGGATTCGGAGGTATACTCCACACCCCTAACAATATTTATGCCCAACATAGGGCCGTAAAACGCGGCGAGAGAACCAAGTTATGTGCGGGCAAATATAATAAAATTATTAAAACGGGCACACGGTGTATTGTAAGGGGATCCCAGGGATCGCGATAAGCCTGGCCAGAAAGATCCCGAGAGGGCTATGGCAGAGTGCCATAATTTTATTAACACCCAAACAAGCTGAGGAGGACAAACCATCAGAGACGAACGAACCAGACGAACCAGAGAGCGGTCAGCTCCTCCAAGTTGTCCCATAAAATATGTGATTACAAAATATATATTTAGACCTGTTCCAGTCAGCCGCCACATTTAGGTTTATTATGATTATGATACAAATTTCCGACTGGCCATAAAGTCGACCGTCTGAGGACTGGTACTGAACCTGAACCTGAACCCAAACTGGCGAGTCTGACTCTGATGGTCTCTGAGTGCGCATCAATTCGGTCAGTCGAACAGGTTGGTCGCTTTTCGGCTGCTCCACCGGCGTTTATCTTGATTATTGAGCTGTTGCGAAAAGCGAAAGGAGGTGGACCAGCAGCCTCTGAACTCCAGCTGCAGATACGGATGCTAAAGCTACAGTTCCAGCTTCAGCTCCAGTCGCGGAGATCGGTATTGGGGAACCAGCTCAAGCTCTGACAGAAACAGAGCTGGCTGGTGACTGACTGACTCACCGAGCAGGTTCAAGGTTACTGTGCTAACTGCGCCAAAGGGGAGGTTACGGGTTACGGGCTGATGACGATGGCGATGGAGATGGGCATGGGGTATGCCTTTAATTGGTCGACTTGTCGGGCCATCGCGCACAAAAGCAAAAGGCTGACCAAAGTGGCCCTGGCGACTATACGTCGATTAGGGTTTGGGGCCGGGACTATGTCAGCAATGGAATTTATAATGCTTATGATATTACACATAGCCGAGAGGTAGGACAGAAGGACAATGGTTCTTTACTCCCTGAATGGGGTTCATTATGTTTACGATGCTGGGATCTCAGGGATCAGGGAACTAAATACTAATGATCCATAGAAAAACTAAACAGCAACAGCTTGAAAAACATATGATCTTAGTAACTAATTCAAGGACCCTTTGACCCAGACAAATTACTTTGCAATAAATCAAATTTTATTTTTAAAACTTAACATCTTCAGGAATAACCCAAATAAACATAAACTTTATTTAAAAACCCCATGGCGTAGGCAATAAACAGCTCTTTTTAAGATCTAAAGCTTACATCAAGGAGCTCTCCGCTGGATTACAGGTCATTTCTTATTCGTTACTGGATGCACCAGCCAATTGGCCCATAAAACCATCCCCACTTGCTGCTTTATTATCTGTGGCTCTTTGTTTCGCTTTTGTGGCCTGCCCTTGATGTGTTTTGCACCATTTAATATTTATTGTGGCTTTTACTACGCGCTTTCAAGTTCAAGATCAAATCAGAGACCAGAGAACAGAGAACAGCGAGTCCAGTGGGGCAGCCAACAAAAAAAGACGCGTAAGGTGCTAAGTGTAATTAAGTTGATAAAAACAGTGTTCGCAGATACATGGGCTGGCAAGTGGCTTGATGCCGCTGCTGATGCAGAGAGCCCTATAATTATGGTTCCTTCAGAGAGAGATGAGGAACTCTTTCGATGAGACAATGCAAACGGTTGGGATCTGGAGAGGGGAGGTGGATTTTTGAAATTGTCTCTGGTGGCGACTTCTACTTTTTTCATTTCTTTAATTAACAGCACTTGATTAATTATGACCACAATTAAGCGCACTCAGAACAACCCACTCAATCATGCCCGGGCTTCCTGCAAATAACTCCCGATTTCCACCCCTCTGAACTAACCGATATTCCCCCTCGCTAGGCCAACGAAGCTCCGCCTCAGACGCAATAAATAATCAAATTGCAAGTTGATTTACCTGCCCGGCTCTGCCTTTTGGGCGAACGAAAGCGAAAATTGCCTTTGGATTGGAATCGCTCCCGCCCGTCGAAACTCTGCCCTCCAGCCCGAGGGCTCCCTCACACGATGACTTTGAAAAATTTCTAACTTGCCCCGCTGTATATGTATAAAAAAACTCTGCCAGACCGGACCCCAGCTTGTTGCATAAATTTTGCTTGCAAGTCGTTACACTTATGAATATTGATTGGTTATAGGTGATGGTGGTGGCTTCTACTGCCGCTCGTTCTGCTTTCGAGCTCTAAAGTTCTGCAGCTCAGGAGTTCTCCCCAGATCTTCAGTTCTCCAATTCTTGAGTCTCGTAAATCGCACAACCTGCATCGTTAGCTGCCGAGACGCCCCCCGGCCCCATCCACTGCTGTCATTTTGCATTTGCACAGAAGTTGTCCGGCCTGAATGGACCTGGGTCCATCGTCCTAACCACGTTTGTTAACATGCTTTTTCTGTGTGGCTCATAATGGGGCTTCTCAATAGAAAGATAATGAATTCACAGCAGAACTAATGGAACTCTCTCTCCTTAGTATCCTTTAGTATTTTACAAAGTTGCAAAAGGGTTGTAATTAGCGATTGATATAGTATGAAGGTTAGGCAACGATAACAACGCTTGCTAGATAGTTCAAATGCAAGTTCTATGTCAATTGAACACTGAGAAAAATAGTTACAGATTATTAAAGTGACTCTTATGAAAGGTTTTAGAGAGACATCATAAACATCAAGGAATCGAAAATAACGACTTCCTCAGGAAAAATGTGTAACATCTTAACGATTGCTTAAGAGAAGTCTTAAGATATTTATAATTTATGATTTCCTTTAATCTCCTAATCGATTATCATTCATTCTTTAAGAAGGGAAACCGGCAACCCTTTTCTCAGTGCCACAGATTAATGGATTGTGCAGCTACTTTGTTGCAATCATAAGTAGTTACTTCTGCCCGTACTCTGGTCTTTTACAATTTGTCATTGTATTACAATCTTGCACTTAATTCTTGTGAAACCCAAACTTCTTCGTAAACTTGTTTCGGTTGTAATGGGCCCTAGGTTGATGCTTTGATTGTTGGCCTGGGATTCGTCTGGTGATTAATTTTTTTTTGGGGCGTTTAATCGCCGGTTAGCTGAGAAGCTGTGGAGCTGCATTTCGTCACCTTTTGCCGTAAGGCTGTTGAAATTTCTAAACTAATCCACAGAGCAGGGCCCTTCCACACCAGTCCCCGAGATTTATTTGCACTGTAATTATTCACTTTGCCGTGAAACTTTGCCCATTACAAGTCCCAACACACATGGCTAGAGAAGCCACATGGTAGATGGTGTACTCATGTCCAGAGGGGCTATCATGTAGCGCTGACTTGGAAAATATTTCAACTGGCCCCGGCCTGACATTGGCCTGCCGACGGCTATTAGGTGTAGACAGTTTATAATCTTTGTCGTTGTGCATTTTAAGAGCTTTTTTTCCCTCCATCCTCGACAGCCTCTGTATCCTCCATATCCTCTATATCCTAACACCCATTCAGAAAGTGCTTGCCCCAGCGTAGAGACCAATGAATTGCCTCATTTGCCGCACAATTTTGCTTATTGATGGAATGTAATTAGTCTGTGTCAGCACCAGTGAGCGAAATGCCCTAAAGTCCTACCATGGTAACTGATCTCGTCCTCTCCAGACAACCAGACCCATTACTAGCCAACGGTGCATCGCTAATCGAAAAAGGTGGCAAATGTGAGTGTGAAAGCTGGCCATTAGAGTGGCTCCCAGAAGCGGTACTTTCCACAGGTAAATGCAATAATGAAATGCATTCTTCGGAGAAATTATTATTATTACGATTTGTCTGGCCAAGGTAAATGACTATATATGTAATTTTGGGCGATTACTTACGATCTAGAAGAGTAGTTCCACAGATATGAAAAAGTTTTCATCATTTTATTGGAAAACAAAGTGCTAAAAGTCCATAAATAAGACTAATTCTTAGTCTGTAACTTCTGGGATCATAGCTATAGTTGCGTAGTAAATTTTCGCTTTCCTTTTCGTGGGCTACAACAATTCGAACTGGTTCACGTATTTAACTGGCGATTTATCAACGGAATAATGCCATTTGATGTAGACGCTGAGCCTTGAATTTGCAACTAAGAAGGGAGTTGGCCAAAAGGTTCACCACTACCACCCTCTTTTGACTCCAACCGTGATGGCACAACAACGGATCTGAGGGCAGACACACTATAATTTAAGCGTGAATATCATTTTTCCATGAACAAGTATCCTGCAGCAATGTATGTGAGAACATTCACAGTAACTGCAATTACCGACCCACCAACCAACCGACCAACCGATCCTCACAACGGACCAACTCAGCTCGAGAGTCTGCCTGGGATCTAAAGAAAATTTATGAAGCCTACCATTATACGATCTTAAGTAGTGGCGGGGATTCCTCCCCAGCCAAACAGAGCGAACCAGCCAACCAGCCAGCCAGCTATCCAGCCCTGCTTCACGTTTGTCCCTGTCTTTGTGTGTGAATTCAAGGTTAATTTCGTGGCTGCGGCTTTAACTAGCTGCACGCACTGCCCTCCATCTCCATCTCCATCAGCCGGTTCCCTGCCCCGAATATTCCTGCAATCCCTCAACGGAGTCTCTCTGACTCCGTCTGGGCCGAGGTTGATAATTTTGATTGCTGCAAGCCATAAATGATCATAAAAATTATAGCAGCCGATACGAGCTCAACCGAACTTTACTCCTCATCCAAGGAAAAAGGAGAGAGAGAAAAGCAGAGCAGAATTCGCAAAAAAAGGGTTGGAAATACAGAGCAAAAGATAGCTAAACTTAAAAGCCATTTTCATCAAAAAGTAAAAAGTAAAAAAAATAAAAGAATATTAACTACTAATTTTATACTTAATATTTGTAGATTTACTAAGAATTACTATATTACTAAATAAAGCGAAATACTATTTTTTGAAAGCTTTCTCTCATTATAAGGTTTGTGTTTTTGCTAAGCTCCAATTTTTCTGATCAACTTTTGGGAGAATTAATTAACTAACTAAGAAATTAGTTGAAAATATAAATTTTGAAAATAATATATACAAATTTGATAAGGAAGTATATATGAAAATATATAAAAAATATAATCATTTTAGGAGTTCTTTCTGCTGAATATAAAATTTTAATAATTAAACTCACCCCGATTTGTGATCTCATTGCCGGCATTCCGATTGTTCTCGTCCTGGCCACCCATACTGACAGTCTTTGACTTCCTGGGTACCGTTTCATCTTCTTCGTCCTCCTCATCCACATCCTCGCCCGTTTCCACGCCATCATCCTCCTCGTCGTCGGCTAGAGCTGTTTGGTTGGTGGTGGTCATTGGAGAACCACCTGTTTTCGTAGAGCTTGGGCCCAGATCCAGGGTGCTCAACAGATTACCAGCAGATTGCGATGACGTCAGAGTGTCCTTGTGATATGAGCTGTGCCGATTGCCCAACTTCGTGGAGAGTGTCAGATCACCATTGTTAGACTGGCGAAGACTGCCCACCACTTGACCTCCGGGCAAGGTGGCGCTCCTCTTATGGCGACCCTTCGACTTGGGAAAGGCGGCCAGAATGTTGAGCCACCACTGGGACTCCTCCGAACTGGTGCCCTTCACAAAGGTAACGCGCTCCGGAGCGGTTATGGCGATGGAGTTGGGATGACCTGTTACCTCCACGGCGCCGGTCACCTCCAACACTTTGGTCATGTCAACGCATGCCTGCGGTATGGTTTCGGGCTAAAAAGAAAGTAATAAGCCATAAAATAAAGATGATTAAGGGTGTGCTAAATTAAATATGGCATAATTCTACTTAATTTATGGCTTATCATCTTTATTTTATGGTGCTATTTAGAAAGCTTTAAGGAATAAATCAATCTAACAGCTATTAAAAAAATCCACTTTAATTCTTTCACTTCATAAATTATTTGCTGATTAGAAGTGGGGAAAAGTGTTGGTAGTGCACGTTTGCACGCTTCGTGGATCTACTGATAAGGCATTTATATGGTGTCAAGAGCAAGGCCATAATTAGAAACTTTCCTAGTGGACCGTAAAATATTTAATTAGCTATGTTATCTTTAATTTTTGACCACATCATCTATAATAGTTTCGAGTTCTTTCTGTTGTGGTTTGCTATCAGTGGGGAACTTTTAGTACAGTATTCAAAACAAAACAAATACATATAAAAGAATTCTCGTTAAGTAATTTTTAGTACTGAGACGTTCTAGCAATCTTTTAAACAAAATACTTACATAATCATCAACCGAATACGTCAGCTCGCCGTCATCATAGAGAACAAACCATCTTCTCTGCCAGCGCTGCAATAGAAAATAAATAACATTTTGATTAGAAATTATTTTGTAGTAAAGTTATTGAAATAAATGTAATCAATATTAAAATATTTTTAACCGTTTGTTGACAATAAATATTTTCCATTATTTATTATTTGATCTGCACTTATTCGTAAGTCTAAGTTTATCGCGATCTCTCGATCTCATCACTCTAGAACAAATTTGCATTGTCGCCTGCAATTTGCAAAACGAAAGGTGGGGCAAGAAATGGCAAGGTGAGACAGAGTTGAAAGGGGGTGGTAAATATTGTTCAACGCCCCCGACAGAAATCATAATTCCTTTATAATTCGTTCTTTCATATATTTTCTGGCGTTGTCATTCCCATGAAAGGCAACCAAGCCCCAACGCCTTCGCCTGATTCGGTCTGGATCTGGATCTGAATAGGAATCTGGATCTGATTCTGATTGTTATTGTTGGTTGCCAGAATCATAACAAACGTGCAACAGCCACAAGGGTATAGGACTCAACGTGTGTCTGATATTTATGCAAATTGCTAAAAGTCAAAGCAAATTAAGCTCAACCTTCAGCGAAGATGACGTTGCCCCATTGCGTTTGCAAGTTGCTAGTTGTAAGTTGTAACTTGCAACTCCCTAAAGTTGATTTCTCCTCTCAGCCAACAATGTGAGGCAAGTGAGAAGGAGTGAGTGTGGTGCTGAGTGCTGAGGTGTGTCGAGCGTTTTATTTATAAGGCCTAGAAGAAGGGAACCTTCTCGCTCACGAATAATGAAGCCTCAGCACCATTTTTCACTTTACGCTCTAGTTCTTTATATTTTTCGTACTTTTTTCACTTTGAATTCATAAATATTGAATTGAATCTATTGTATGTTCGAAGCCACAAGAATGTAGGTATTAATGAAGTGAGAGGTAACGATTTCTTTCACATCTGATGGGCTTTCTTTTGGCTGATCAGAATTTGCGGAGGTAATAAAATCGAGGTGGTTATGATTGAGAAATATGGCTAAGACTGTATTTTTATGAAGATTATTTCCATGGCTTCAGGGCATATGAATTTAACTAATAATAATCTTAATACAAATTATTTTACTTATGTACCCTGTATTTAATTATTTATTAGCAATAGAACATAATATGAGTGAACAGTTTTGCGGTTTTTCCTCCCGAGACCTCAATGAAAAGTCAGGAAAGCAGAGGGAAACCTGATCAGCTCGCGGGAAAGATTCTCTGCACTCAATTACGTCAAACCAGGTTGATTTCCTCCTTTTCGCTGTCAAGAGATTGCCAAGAGTCAAATGGGTCAGGCAGTGGAATAGTAAATTAGATTATGTTTGCATCGAAATGCAATGCGCCCCAAATATATCATGTAGAACATGCGTTAGGATTCCTCTGACCCCTCAGAACCCTTCGAAAGCCCACCCATTTTCCCGTTTTTCCGCCCAACGCCTCTTTAGATTTCTCACATTCACCGTATATAGTCTATTGTATAGTATACTTGAGGTAAGCTGCTTAGAACCCGGCGTTTAGAAGCCCCAGTTTCGTTTCAATAGGCAGACACACTCACAGCGGGAAGACAATGCCAGCGGCTTAATTAGCCCGAGGAACGACATCTCAATGCTGGCGAGCGTGTACTTATGGGCATGAGTGTACGCGAGTGTGCGAGCTGGTGTAAATAGGTTTTGACAGGTACGCCGTTGGCGTCATTACCCCCGCAGAGGTTGAATGTCACCGGCGGCATGACTTGGGGGCCAAGCCGATAAGGCCCACACACTGGCCACTGTACAGTGTGCACATGGAGAAAAAATAATTAATCAAATCATAAATAAGATACTGTACACAGGTAAAGTAAATATAGTATACATCCCCTTACTAGCATTAATGCCATTTTTTTTACTTAATAGACAAACTAAACTTAAGTTATTTATTACCAAAACAGAATTATATTTCAGAATATGTTAGCATCAAAAGCTTCAAATCCACAAACAAAACAAAAATCTATAAATATTTTCCATTGCTGACGTAGGTAAAAAATAAGATCAACAAGTTTGTCAATATTTTTATTTACTATTCACCATATTTGCATATTTCAGTCATACTTTAGTGCCATATTTTTCAGTGTAGCTAATAAACGTAAAATATCGACGGGTTTCGTTGTGCCCCAAGCAGTCCGAAGATGTTAGGCACGTCTGCTGATAAGGAAAACTGTATCCCAGACTAGGCCAGACCATATTATATTAACGTCTGGAGGCGGGAACAGTCATACGATGTTGTTTATATATGTTTATTATTTCCCTGGCCGTTGCCAAGGTAGCAGAGCGCAACTCGTTCGATTAGTGGGTCAATTCGGAAAATGAGTTATTGATGGTGGGAAAATTTTGAGCCTAAAATCCTAATCAGTGACCGAAATTTTCCAAACATGCATTCTCCAAGTGACCAATGCTTGGTTCAGTGATAACGCACTCAGAGCGACCCCCAAAGATTATCAATAGAGTATTCTTAATATGAATAAATTAATAGAAATAGACAAAGTAAAAATAGGTTAAACTTTTATGTATTAATAATTAAGCAATCGTTGAAAGCTTCCAGAGATCCCGGCCATATAAGTCCCGACTTCTGTATGGATTCTAGCCCACATCTTTGCAGCAAATTAGGTGAACATATGCATACGTATGTGTATGTGTATACAATAAACAGGTTCAAGTTTTTTTATGCAAATTGAAAGCTTATTTCTTCCGCATGCTTATCTCTTTCGTTCTCATCACACGTGCCATTGCAAATACAGAAGCCTCCTCCCTCATCTATTTTAACCCCATAAGACCCAATGATGCAAATTTCTGATTTTTCAGGCAGTTTAAAAAATATTTTAAAATATAATAATAAATAAATATTCTTTACAAATATATAAATGCAATTTAATATTAATACTTAAAGACCATTGGGTGCAGCTTAATTGATATATTATATATACATACATGGGTATATATTATATATTAATATAAGATATGATAAAGGATTAAACATATCAAGATATGATTTAAGGATAAATTAATACTTTCTACTTTAATGGGTTAAACTTTAACGTCAACTGTACGATGTACTGCTGCACTTGAAACCGCTATTCCAGCTCGGCTACAAAGTGGGCTTGGTCGCTGTTGTGGACAAGTGAGATTGCTAATGAGCTGCTTTTAGGGGGCGTGTTGTGCTTGCCTTCCTACTTTTCTAGATTGATTCTACCCTGCCTCCAGCTAGCCCCCTTCAACCCCTCTTCGAACCCCTTGGACTCCCTCTATTTGACTTACACGTATGCAAATTAAGTCGAAGTTCAATTGCGACCACAGCAACAACACAGCCTGGAATCTTTTTACACTTCTGCTAGCTATGCTTGACATTCACAAGGTTAAAGCTCATACTATTCTGTAGCGCGGGCTCTACACTAAAGAAAATTATAGAACATACTAAGTAGAAATATGGGTTTTAAAATAAAAAAAAAAATGCTGTTACGGCATAAAAAATTATTAAATACCAACTTAAAAATAAAACCGACGATTTGAGTGTTTGCAAATGCCTGCCAGTTTCTTTTTCAGTGCACTTTCTGTTGCTCTATTTTCTATTGGGCTCGTACCCGGCATTTATTTGCAGATCATTTGTTTGCGTATTTTTATTGCATTTTACATATTACAAATTATTTGAGCGTCGCTGCCGCTGTCGACGTCAACGTCAATCGCCCCCACTGGAGAACAGTATTTAAGGAGCTGCAAGAGCTGAAAGCGCCGATTATTGTCTCAGTGCAGTTGTCAGTTGCAGTTCAGCAGACCGGCTAACGAGTACTTGCATTTATTCAAATTTACTCAATTGATCAAGTAAGTGAGAAGAAAGGCTCCCACTTGATGGGATAATAGGACTCAAGCTATTTCAATTTGTGCATAACAAAATAATTTCATTAACGTGGAAAAGTTCTATAAACTTGTAAAATTACAATTCAAGCATATAAATCCATTTTATAGGATTAGCTTTCAGTGTAACGCGGCATCTTTTAAACTCAAAAAATAATCAAATTTTAATTTGGAGGCCTGTGCTTTGCTCTAATATTCTTATTTGGAAAATCACCTGTTAGTTAATTTCTAAAAATAGCGATCTTAACATAACCCGCCCCTGTTGGCCGGCGCCGTGCCTTCGTTAGCTATCTCAAAAAAACGGAGCGCGTGCAGACCAGCAGTAATTTTCCAAACATCAGACATAGTTCGGTATAAATTATAAACATACAAACAGAATACTAATCTAACCAAAAAGCTTTGCCGGTACAAAATCCCAAACAAAAACAAACCGAAGTGTGCCGAAAAATAGAAATAAAAATAAACCATAAACGAGGCAGCTCTGCCACCGTTAGCTTCGTATTTAACGTAATGAAGATCACGTAATAATAGAGATAATGAACAAAAAGCTTAACGTAAGCGAAGCTTCGGCAGGGAAGATCTTCCTATAAATACGGGGCCATTCCGAACTGGAAACCAACAACTAACGGAGCCCTCTTCCCATCCAAACAGATCGAAAGAGCCAGCAAAAAAAAAAAAAAAAGAAGTCACCATGTCGACTACATTGACCAACAAGAACGTGATTTTCGTGGCCGGTCTGGGAGGCATTGGCCTGGACACCAGCAAGGAGCTGGTCAAGAGGCCCCTGAAGGTAACTATCACGATGCATTTGGGTCTCCACCAGATGGGGGTTTAATATGTATGTATGTAATCCCTCCCAGAACTTGGTCATCCTCGACCGCATTGACAACCCGGCTGCCATTGCCGAGCTGAAGGCAATCAATCCCAAGGTGAATGTCACCTTCTACCCCTACGATGTGACCGTGCCAATTGCTGAGACCAAGAAGCTGCTGAAGACCATCTTCGACCAGCTGAAGACCGTCGACATCCTGATCAACGGAGCTGGTATCCTGGATGATCACCAGATCGAGCGCACCATTGCCGTTAACTACACCGGTCTGGTCAACACCACAACCGCCATCCTGGACTTCTGGGACAAGCGCAAGGGTGGTCCCGGCGGTATTATCTGCAACATTGGATCCGTGACTGGTTTCAATGCCATCTACCAGGTCCCCGTCTACTCCGGCACCAAGGCCGCCGTGGTCAACTTCACCAGCTCCCTGGCGGTAAGTTCTTAGAGAGAAATAACTATTATGGGTTTAAAAATAATTATGAAACCTACAGAAACTGGCCCCCATCACTGGTGTGACCGCTTACACCGTGAACCCCGGCATCACCCGCACCACCTTGGTGCACAAGTTCAACTCCTGGTTGGATGTTGAGCCCCAGGTTGCCGAGAAGCTCCTGGCTCACCCCACTCAGCCCTCTTTGGCCTGTGCCGAGAACTTCGTCAAGGCTATCGAGCTGAACCAGAACGGTGCCATCTGGAAGCTGGATCTGGGCACTCTGGAGGCCATCGAGTGGTCCAAGCACTGGGACTCGGGCATCTAAGCAAAGTGATACTCCCAAAAAGCATATAACATTAGTTCATAGGGTTCTGCGAACCACTAGATATTCACGATGGCAATAAGGCTGATTCGATGCACACTCACATTCTTCCCCTAATACGATAACAAAACTCACCATGAATAAAAACTGAAAAACAATATAAATATAAATATGAAAATTGAGAAATCCTAAAAGTGATAAGCTTTCTACTTAATTAAATTAGATAAACGGGTGTGGCAGGTCGAGGAGGAATGGAGAAGTAGGGCCAGTTGCTCCAACCAATCAGTCGTAAAACAGAAGTCTTGGAAAGCGGAAAGAAAGAATGTTCGATTTGACGGGCAAGCATGTATGCTATGTGGCGGATTGCGGAGGAATTGCACTCGAGACCAGCAAGGTTCTCATGACCAAGAACATAGCGGTGAGTGGCTCGGGAAGCTGGGTGCTGACTGCTAACTGCTAGCTGCTCTGGGCTGTGTTTATTGCCCAGATCGAACTCGAAACTAGTCCAGCCAGTCGCTGTCGAAACTAATTAAGTTAATGAGTTTTTCATGTTTGTTTCGCGCGCTGCAACAATTAAGTTTATGTTTCAGTTTCGGCTTAGATTCGGTTTAAGGATTTAGCACTTTTCTTTGTCAGTTTGAAAATATATTAAAAAAATATAATGATTGTGGTGTACTTAAAGGTGCAGTAAAACTTAAAGTAAACTAAATATTTGTATTTGATTATAGGTGCCAATGAAGTCTTTTCTTTCAGAAATGATAAGAACTTTATCGTTTGAATATTTATATTTTTTATCAAAAGCTTTTATTGACGTTTCGATATTAACCCTCCAATGAAGTCTATTTTTATTAGGCAGATAAATAAGTTTGTTGTTAAAATATTTGTATTTCCAATCTTAAAAGGCATTCGAATTGGATATGATAAGTTAAAATATTATTTGGTTTTTATTTTCCTTTTCAGAAACTGGCCATTTTACAGAGTGTAGAAAATCCCCAGGCAATTGCCCAGCTTCAGTCCATAAAGCCTAGTACTCAGATATTTTTCTGGACCTACGATGTGACCATGGCTAGAGAAGAAATGAAAAAGTACTTTGATGAGGTGATGGTTCAAATGGATTATATAGATGTTCTGATCAATGGGGCTACTTTGTGTGATGAAAACAATATCGATGCCACTATTAATACAAATCTTACGGGAATGATGAATACTGTAGCCACGGTATTGCCTCATATGGATAGGAAAATGGGGGGATCTGGTGGACTTATTGTGAATGTTACCTCGGTTATAGGATTGGATCCATCGCCAGTTTTCTGTGCCTACAGTGCTTCGAAATTTGGTGTTATTGGGTTTACCAGGAGTCTAGCTGTGAGTTCTAAATTCCTATTCAATTTTTTAGCTTAATATAATATTATTTTTAGGACCCTCTTTACTATTCCCAAAATGGAGTTGCTGTCATGGCAGTTTGTTGTGGTCCCACCAGGGTCTTTGTGGATCGGGAACTAAAAGCTTTTCTGGAGTATGGTCAATCCTTTGCCGATCGCCTGCGTCGTGCTCCCTGCCAATCCACATCGGTTTGTGGCCAAAATATTGTCAATGCCATCGAGAGATCGGAGAATGGTCAGATATGGATTGCAGATAAAGGCGGATTGGAATTGGTCAAGTTGCATTGGTACTGGCATATGGCGGATCAGTTTGTTCATTATATGCAAAACAACGATGAAGAGGATCAGGATTAAAGTCGAATCAAATAAACCAACGAATTCCACCAAAAGTAGGCAATTCATTTTAAATATGACAATAGATATGGGTCATCTATGGGGTGTGAATGAATAATGACATATAACGGGGTGCCTAAAAGTATGCAGCAAGTTTCGGTGGGAACTATAATTTGATGCGTTTAATTAGGTGGTTCGGGAAATCTTTTTTCACTGATTTCTATAAGTCAACAGGCTTTGGGAAAATGCACACAAAGAAAGCAAATTTCCAATAGTTTGCCTTGATTACTTTTACACCTCCTTGCACTTCCTATCAAGTGCTTTCATTTAAATTTTCTCTCCTCAACCTTTGATCTGAATTGCAAATGTAAAATCAAGACCAACTACTCAAGGCTTTTCCGCCATCAATATCCGCAGCATTTTCGTGCACATTTCTAGACCGTCTCTAGTGCATCTCAACTATGCGAATGCGAGTCGAAATTTTGCCAGAGCAATGCCGTGCATTGAACTTTGGCACATTTCCAAACGCACAGCCAGCCAGGCAGCAAAAAGGAAACCCAATCGGACGACCGAGAATTGAATGAAAAAACAAACAAATCTGCCGACACATTGCCCAGGAATATTCGGAGTGAGTAGCTATAGTTACAGTCAGAGAAATGATATAGTATTTTGTAATATTTTCAATTTTTCGTACTGATTTAGCCGCAAGAGCGGCTAGAGCTTAGTACGCTGACTTTTTCATCTTTCTAATCAATCTTTTAATTTCTGTTTTATGTATATCTTAATTAATTTTTGTATTAAAAGATATAAATAATTTTTAATTACAAAAGTATTCAGATTTTCTCTGTATGTATATATATGCCAGCTATATAGTAGGGTAAACTGTGGGCACTCCGCCTTGGCATACTTCCCATTTGAGTGCGTTGTCTTCCTTCTAGCCCCTAGCCGGGGCCATTCGGATCGTAAAAAAATCAATAGCCACCAGACCAAAAAGAGCCATCGGACATTGAGGACCCAACGCAGCGGAATGGAACCAACGGAATCGCATGGATTGGAATCTGGCCAGGCCATATCAAACCATTTTTCCAGAGTGTTCCCCGTCCCCCGACCCCTTCATTTTACCTCTTCTGGCGTTGCAAGTTTGCTTTCCTTTCCGCGGCGCAACTTAATTCCAAAAATCGATTAGTCACTGTAAGCGAACCATGCAATTGTCCAGCATTTTTCATTTATAACTCCTTTTTTTCGTTTAATTTTTTGCTGGTTTCTTCCTCTTTTTTTTGGCACACGCTTGATTAATTTGGTCGGCAGCCAAAAGAGGGGGAGTAGGGGAGGACATTTAAAAATGCAGGAAGTAATCGATTGGCTAGGGCACAATAGCCAAAATGGGAGAGGCCTTGAGACGCGAAAAATGCTGGGGTAGGTTGGCTTAAGGAAACGGTGAAAAATCTTGAAAATTACGATACAAGAAAAATGGCTTTTAAATAATAAATATTCTTTGCTGGTAATTGACCAATCACACAATTATCTTTGACACCGATTTCTATGGCTTACAATTATTCTTTATTTTTTTAAAGCAAAGAACTAATATTAAAGATCTATGTGCTGTGGCTGTTATCTTTCTAGATATACTATTAATTTTTGTAAAACTACACTCATATATTTTAAGAGACAACCATTAATTTAGAGAGTATCTAGGCTTCGACTAGTTCTAGTATTTATGCCACCGCTGTAGATCGAACAAAAACATGCGACCGACCGGTTGCCGGCAGTAGGTGGAGATTAATCAACAAAAAAATTTACGGAAAAATGGAGGTAAAAAAATAACTGATGCTTTTTAAATGGCAATACGTGCCTGGTCACCAGGTATTTTACTAATTAACCTGACGGATGCACGCCACCGCCGAAGAAGATAGTGATTATGCAACTGCATGGATCGGCGAGGCAGCAGCTGTCTGTACATAGGCGTTGTGAGATAATAAAGCTCCGATTTGATGGGAGTTTATACCGAACACTGATAATGTACTCATTATGGAACGTAATTGCCATTCATTACTTACTGGCAAAAAACTAAAGGTATTTTAGTAATTAAGCAAAGGTTATCTAACTAAAGTTCAAACAGGATGACTGATTGTTTCTTCTAATCATTTTGCTCTAATAATTAGTAGCTAGTACTAGGCCATAGCTATATCCGAGATCTATATCTGCGTAACTATAAAAACTGAGTTGTGATAATAATTACTTTGACCTTATTACATCGTACATCGACCTTAATTTCATGAATTACTACAGGAAACATTTAAATGTTATTCGTTTTAAAATTTCTGCTATGATTTGTTCTACTAGCTATAATGCTGATTTCCTGATCTAGTTCCCCACGGGTAGAGTTCACCAATCTCGGACTCGTTTCATAAGACATGAGGCAGCTTGGCAAGAAAACACATGAACACATGTTAGATATGGCTAGCACATGCCCCGTACCCGCACAATTCGCTCTGATAGTTTGAGACTCTGAAAGCCTCTAAAAGCCAAGACCCATTTGTATGGCCAACTGGTAGAGTCTATAACTTTGGCTGGGGCCATAGAGACTCAGATTTAGACCGAGTTTGGAGCGGCGCATAAAGATTATCTACGGCCGCACATGGCACCAGGCGGTCAGACAAGATTATATGCGAAATGCGAAGCCAAATAACAAGTGTTACTCAAGGCAGCAAATTAATAGCCAACATTTTTCTAAACTAATCACGACAAGTGCTCCGGGTTTGGGGCTGACACAGAAACTCAAACAGCCGGCACAAAAGGCAAAACGCCAACTTGGCCAAAACTGGCGGCCAAAAAAAAAAAAAAAAAATAAAAGACAGATAGATCAGAGCCTGGCTTAAATGCCAGAAAATGCAGTAAGCGAAAAATAAACATGAAGAAAAATGACAGGCAAAAACGTTACTTGCCCTCCGGGGGTCGTCGCTTCCACCTCATTCCCTCGTCCCGCTCCGAATTTAGCACCATACGAGTACGAGTATACACCATGGACCACCATTCCTGATTCGGGAGTGGAGCACAGAACCTGAGCCGTCGATCTCAGATTCCGACACGTGCCGGGTGACAATGGTTCCGCCAAATGCCCATAACAATGGAACTCGAGTACAAAACAGCAAACATTTTGTAAATTTGCGTCCATTGACACTCTTTGAATGATACAGATCTCACGCTGCTCTCGATCTTGGTTCCGATGGAGAAGGGTCACCCTGTTTAACCGGGAGGGCCACCTAGCCGGCAGATTGGCCCACGCAGAGTTCCTGCCCCTCCCCTATTTAGATCCCCCTCCTCCTGAACACCACTCACGGTACCCATTTCAGCCTTGAGGCAGCAAACCACTTTGTATGTACAAGAGACGAATGTGAAATGATGTCGATGCACTGCGATGATAAGGATCCCCAAAAGGGCTTAAGAATTTAAATTAAGAAAATAGTTTTCTTAATAATTTTAATTGGAACCTTTAAGGCTATCAGTATGAGAAGGAGGTTCATTTTTGAATTCATAGGTTATTAATTGTACATTTTAAACCTCATCTGATTTAAAGTTTTTGCATCTTTTGAATGCTTCTCTTTTTGCAGTGTGAAAATAAGCAATATTCTCAGAGGGGTAAGCGGAAAGGGTGACGACTGAAAAGAGGGGGGACTCGGGACCGGTCCTGGGTGCATGTAACACAATCAGGAAGTAATTTTTATGCTATGTACCCATAGCATGTGTCGCCGTCATCGTCGACGTAGCTGATGTTGCTGCTGTCGCTGTTGATTTTGATTTTGCCCAGTTTGTTGGTGTTGGCCCCAGCCGACGTGAATGTGGATGTGGATGTGGATGCGAGTGATCTGGCCAGTCAGTGGAGGCAGTCGCTCAGGCAGCCAAGAAGTTGGCAAGTTGGAAGTTGAGCTGGGTTCGGAGTTCTCTCTGGCGAGTTGAGTCGTGGGGAATTGCATTCGCTTGCTTGGGCACCCTTCTCCCTTTGGGAATTGCAGTCGAGGAAATCGAGGGGCACGGCATTGATTGCCAAGATGATGATGACGACGATGATGTGAGGCAATCGCTGAATCAATCTTGGCCAGTAGTTCAACGTTTACTGTTATTAGTTGCTGGAACATTGCATTTTGATCGGTACCAATATGGTTTGCTCTTCGTTTTTCGATAGAAAAATGCCTTGGGGCAACGAAATGGGTTGTGCACTGGCAATAGAGCTTGGAAAGTAGTTTTTCAGTTTCCATATGATTGAAATTTATTTAAAATATTGTTTATGATTTTTTATAATCTCTTTTTGCTGAAGTCATTACAAATTGAATGATTTTTGAAAAAAAAGAAAGGTTTTGTAGCTAAAATATCTTTACAAACCAAATCGAAAGTCATTAAAAAATTTTCAGATTATGCTTTAAATGTTTCCATTGCAGGTTTGATTTGGTTTTTTCGTCTCTGTCCCATAGTTAATTATGACACTTTAATAAGCGGAAAATGAAATCGAAACCACTCGGGCTGAACCATCCAATCAACAACTCTATCTAAATAACAAGTATCTCGAATGCAATTTAAGCTGCCCCACGAAAGACCTGCGAAATGGGAAACTAACGGAAAAACAACGAATTGTGAAATAATTTGGCAATTTCAAAATTGATGCCAAACTTCAAATTGAGGCAATAGAAATCAATTAGCGCCACGCTTCAGCTGACCGGACAAAACTTGGAGCGCCGAAAAAAAAATTAAGTTATCGAAAATGAGGAAAATGTTAAGTAGTAAACGGACTCGTGCGGAATGCGTTTGGTCTATTCTCCAGTTTTCCTCTCCGGAAAACTCATTCAGCCATTAAATGCCGTTATCTGCTGATTACACAATAAAAACACAACCACAAAGCAGCAGCAACAACAACAATAAATGCTACTGCAGCAGCGCCCAGAGCTAGGAGACCTAATTCGAGGCGCATCTGTAGAAGAGTTACGGCAACTGCAACAGCAACGGCAGCAACAGCAGCAGTAACAACAACAACAGCAACATGCAATACTATAACGTAACATTTAGAACGTCTTTGTTGTTGCTGCTGCTGCGGCTGCTGAAACTTGTGCTGCTGTTACCCACAGAAAAGCTGACCAAGAGAAAAAGCTGCCGCAACCATTTCTCGCAACATTTTGCTGCCTTGCATCATTTAGAGCTGCACTCAGAGAAAAAGGGGTACTTTTTTACATTTATATAACCATTTAACTGCAATTCTTAAATCGTTTTTCGATATTTTAAAATACCTGAAGCAGATCTCTTACGGATTACTTCTTTCTTAATGAAGATTCTTGAAAATTATATCCTTTCTTTCTCTGTAAAAACTGCGTTTACTTAGTGGCATCTGAAGGGGAGTGGCACACGCGGTATGGAAAAAGTATCTGCAGCTGACTAAAAACTGAAAGATTTGTGGCGTCTGCTTGCTTGCAAGGATATGTCCGAAGAACTTCCCCAAAGAATACGTAAAAGAAAATAAGAAGATTGGCATGAAGAAATTAGAGAGCCTTTCACCACATATTTTCTGATTTTTTATGGAGAGGTTTTCCAAGAGGGTTTGTCTTTTTTGGAACTTGGAAGCATTTAATCTTCGTTTCATTTCATAAAAAGGATTCCTAAAAGTTAGAATCACCAGAAGTTTCCGGGCGTACTTC